TCTATACACAGCCTGGCAAATTCACCTGGGATTTGTGTGGGATGTTTAGGGCTGTATGTCTGCTGTGGGAATGTGCACCACACTCAGCACAAGATTGCTTTATTGTAGGAACCAGAGTCAGGTCTTAGTTTTCCAAAAGTACTGGTGTCATTGAGGGGAGAGAAGGGACTGGGACTGACAAGTTGTGTCCTGTCCTCCTGCCACTTTGTTTAAAAGTAGTGTTACCTTCTTCTACACACCAATATTTTCCTTTTTCCTGCCCAGAATAATTTTAGGCAGACTGAGAATAGGAAGAAAATGCTCTGTACGTTGATGGTTTCAGTCTCTGGGCCTCCTTGCTGTGGCTGACAACATATAATTATGCATGGACTTAGGTTGTAGGCTCTGGCATGTTATGGTGACTGTTGTTTCCCTTGACAGTTACAGCCCTCTCTGCTCCCTGCGCTGTTTGTGTGTACAGGCATGCTGGCAGAACGCAGCCTTCTGTCTTGCCTTGCCTCTCCTTTTTGTTTTGTCCTGATCTTGCTGCTGATGCAGATTGCCTCTCCTCCCTGAGGATCACTTCTCCCCCTGACTTGAAAGGCAACAGCAACAGGAGTTTGGGCAGGATGTAGGGTCCCCTTAGGAGTGCATGCTAGGATCCTTCTCTCTGGAGGGGAGCTCAGTAGGAGAGAGGCTTTTAACCTTCAGCAGTCAAGTGCAGATCTGTTTCCTAGCCAGGAGTCGTTGTGGGATGAGGCGCCATTAAGGAATACCCAGGATTTACCCTGTATATTTGAGCTGGCTCCTCCTAAGATTCTGCAACAAAGCCTGGGTGTGAATGCTCTAGCCCCTGTATCATCCTCGTGACCCTCCTCTGGACTTGCTCCAGCAGCTCCATGTCCTTTTTATGTTGAAGACACCTGAACTGTACACAAGACTCCAAGTGAGGTCTCACGAGAGCAGAGGGGCAGGATCACCTCCTTTGACCTGCTGGTCATGCTTCTTTTGATGCAGCCCAGGATACAGCTGGTTTCTGGGCTGCAAGCACACACTGAAGCCAGCTCACGTCAAGCTTCTCATTAACCAACACCCCCAAGTCCTTTTCCGCAGGGCTGCTTTGAATCTCTTCTCTGCTCAGCCTGTAGCTGTGCCTGGGGTTGTGCCGACCCAGGTGTAGGACCTTGTACTTTGCTTTGTTGAACTTCGTGAGGTTATCATTGACCCACCTCTCAAGCTTGTCAAGGTCCCTCTGGATGGCATCCCTTCCCTCCAGTGTATCAGCCGAGCCACACAGCTTGGTGTCGTTGGCAAACTTGCTGAGGGCGCACTCAATCCCACTGTTCTTCTTGCTGACAAAGATGTTGAACAAGACAGGTCCCAACACTGACCCCTGAGGGACACCACTCGTTTCTGGTCTCCACTTGGGCATTGCGCTGTTGACCGCAACTGTCTGTGTGCAGCCATCCAGCCAGTTCTTTATCCGTCAGTGGTCCATTCATTAAATCCATGTCTCTGCAATGTAGACACAAGGATGGCATGCAGGACAGCGTCAAAACGCTGTGCACAAGTTCAGGCAGACTGTGTTGCTCTGCCCATATTCATCAGTTCTGTAGCCCAAATAACGTGAGGTACCCTAGAGAAGCCTTGACCCAAGTAGGCCATAAAGCCCTCGATGGACCTCTATTTCCTTCTCTCCCACATCAGCACTACTACAAAGCAGATACGAAGTTTACTCCTTGTGTTCTCAAACCTCTGCACCTGTGCTCTAGAGGGAAACACTGCCAGGGGATCTGCGCTGCCTTCCTGAACTGTACCTCTAGACTTGCTAGGTGTGTGTCTGTGCCTTCGAAAAGTCTTCCCAAGTTTTCCCAATTGCAGTAAAAGTAGTTGAAATAAAGCAACAGTTAGTTTTCACCTTGGAGTGCACCTCAGCGGCGCTCTGCCTCACTCTCCTCAGGGCAAGAGCTTGAGTGCTCTCTGCCTGCCGTGGGACCTGATGTACTAAAAGTAAGTGTACTAAGTAAGTACTAAAACCTCCATGGGAGGTCACAGATGACTGAGTGTTCGGGTCATCTAGTGCTTGTGTCGAATTTCACAGAGTAAGTCAAGCAAGTCAGCAGTGGGGTTTTGTGCCCCCCCCCCCTTCCCTTCCAGAGCTGGATTTAAAATCATGTGCATGGGGATCTCTTGTTGGAGCATCTCATGCACATTTGCCACAGGGGACCCTGGATAAACAGCCCTTGCAGTGACGCTTTTCACTTTTGTGCTTCTAGAAAACAGACAGTGCGTGCAGGGCGAGCTGGGGGTTTCAAAGCCCCAGGGAATTAGGGGCTAAAATTTGACTCAGGCCTGAACAATGGTGCATTCAGAGGCTGACGTGGTTCTCTTCTCTGCTCAGGGTTTTGCTGACAGATCAGAAATGAAAACCACTCCAAGAGATTTATTTTGTTTTTCTCTGCTGTCAACCACCTTTGAGCCCCTGTGGTTTATCTCTCTCTGTTTTCTCCTCAGGTCTGACTGCCTCATTAAAACAATTAGATCGGAAGGCTACTTTGGCATGTACAGAGGTACGTAAAGCTGAGTCAGGCATGGCACGGCTTCTGTGTTGGAAGCATTGGTGCGTAAGTGGGAGGAAAAGCCCATGTTCTCTGGCTTACAAAGCAATAACCTAGCAACATCATAAGATTTTTAAAAGTGCAGCTGTTTCTGAAAATAAACTCCTCCTTGCCGGGTGTCTGCTGAGCTCTCCACCATTGAGTACTTGAGTCCTCCCCATGGCTGTTTTGGTGTTAAACCTTGTCATTTACTGAAGTTAATCTTTATTAGTAGTGTAAGTGAAGCGGCTGGGCTTTGTTTCAGGGCACCGTGTGTGTGTTTCTCAGCTTGGGCATAGTAACTTTTGTCAGAGGGACAGTAGCAAACCTCTCGAAACGTCTTTCTTTGTGGTTGATGATTGAATTTATGTCAAAGCCCACCACCAGCATGGTCAGGCCTGCTGTCCCATCTCATTGGTAGGTTATCTCCAAAACTAGCTGTCTCTCAAGCAGACCTGAGTGCTTTGTTCAATTATTAAGATAAGCTGCAATTAAAAACCAGTTAACTTGCCCCCAGAAAGAAACTCCCTGGGGGTGGTAAGAAAATCAGAGGTTGGCTCATGGTAGAGCTTCAGGTGTTTGGTTGTTGTGTGCTACCCTGCTAGCTATCTCCTGGCTTCTTGGCTTAGGCTGTCTGTTGCAGCAGTGAGTTCTTCAGCTGACATTATACCTTTTCTAGTTTAAACATAAAGTCATTGAAAGTTTTTAAGGATTTTGAGGAGAGGGGAACAGCAGGTCAAATTCTGACTTTACTTGTAGGAGAGGAAAATGTGGAATATTTTCTTGGCTTTCAGCACAGTCCAACTGGCTTAATTGTCACTGAATTCTGGTTCATTTTATGTACTGGTATTCAATTGCCTGAATATGCATTTTTTTTTTTCTCTCTGAGGCTGTCTGACAGCATTCTTTGTGGCAGTCATTCACTGATAAAGCCTGATAAAAGTACTACTTTGATTAAGTGAGTCCCCACTCTTTGTTGTTTCAAGCGGGAGGCCAGAGATGCTGGTGCCTTGCTGTTGGCATCTCTTGCCACTTGTTCCCTAGCTCTTCAGGAGCCATGGCCACTGCAGCCAGCCAGCCTGGGAGCTGGTGCTGGCTGTTGAGGCAGTGCCTCTTGCCCAACTTGCTGGGGGGCGTTTTGGGGGAGTGCAGTGGATGCTGCGGATGGATTGGCTGCTTTATTCCAGCTTTCCTGGGAGCAGGCAACAAGACAAATAACCCTGAGGAACCCTGGCAAGGCCTGTCTTTCAATGCTAGCAGTGACACGTTCCCCTTTGATTTTTCCCAGAAGCTGGCTGCCTCTGTGTTCCTAGCTGGGAACAGAGCCTACATTAACTTTGGGTGTAAATATGCAGTGGCAGGCTAATTGGCGGAGAGCAGAAGGAAAAAGCTGGTCTTGGAAACTTACAGATGAGACTGTAAGACCTATCAGGGCACTTGGGAGAGACGAATCAGTCCTGTAAGGTGTAGCGTGGTGAAGGGTATGTGTATCTCCAGGCCACTTTTCATTCCCAAGCAAAAATCTCAAAGGGTGAAGTGGGTTTTGCATAGCTCTTGCTTTTCCCAGCCATAATGAGTCTGGTCAGCTTGGTCCATGTGCCACTAACTTTGTACCTCTCTGTTCAGGGAGCTGAGAGTGGCTTGAATTTACTGTCACCTCCTATGATTAAATGATGAGCTGGGTTTGGAAAGGGCTTCTGTCAATAGCTCCAGAAGTTCATAGATACTTCCCAATGGCTGGGGCGCAAATGTGAGTCCTTCAAGTACAGCAGTCCCAGTTCTGCGCCTCAGTTCTGTGAGCTGACATTAGTAGCCCTTCTCTCTCTCTTGGGGAGAGGATAGGTGGGTAAAATACATCCAGTATTCATGAAGAATGTGTGAGTACTTTTCTGGGAAGAAGGTGAAGAGACAGCTCAGACTTGCAGGCAGGGAAAGATGGAAATCAGATTGTGGATTGGTTCCTGCTCCCTCAATCTGTCCCAGTTCCCTAGCAGAAGCTAGGGATGACTCATAAGCTCTTATTTGCAGCCTTTAAGATGAAATTGGGAGGATTATATGTTAATGTGCTAAAGTGCCACCTGCCATGGCCCGTGGAGGAGTCACAAATGCGTCAGTCTTCCCCGCAGGGCACTTGGCCTCTGTTGGAAGACAGAAAGGGTCTGCTTGGGTGCAGCCATTCCCACTGTGTGACTTCAGGTCTCCTTCACATGTGAATCAAAGCTCCTCAGTACAGACAGGAGAGAGGCTTGAGCTAGTGGGATGCTTTTTTGCAAATCATCTCTTAAGGGGGGCATGTGGGCAGGCAGTCTTTGCTCTGTATGGGTAGCCATAGTGAATTGTGTGATGCATAAGGCAGTCCCAGTATTTCTCCCCAGTTACAGGGATTCTTACATTTGTTTGGTGGAGGAAAAAGAGGTGATTTTCTCATGTTTTTTTCCATAACATTTAGGTAGCAGCCTCAAAGCTGCGTGGTTCTGTCTAGCCCTGTCTGTGCTCAAGGGATGACAGCGTGCTGCCTTCAGGCATGATGCCAAGCAAGTGAATCAATGGTGCCTGTGGGCTCCTGCATCACATGGACATCAGTGGAAGGGTACCTTGGAGAGGTCCACTGCTTCCAGCTACAGTCCCTCCAGAAGCCACTGACAGATCCCAGCAGGCATCCTCGAGGTCCCACTGCTATTTGCAGACCAGCTGTTCAGTCTAGCTGGCAGGAGTCAAAGGCCTAGATGAGACTGGAGAAATGCCCTTTGCTGTTGGTGATACTTGGAGAGTAGCTACAGTTCAGCTACCATAGTGTGGCAGGCCCCCCCCGCCCCCTC